TTAAACAGTTGCTTTTTGGAGATTGGGTGATTGCTACTTATTGAATAAGTAGGAAAAAACACTTAAAATCATCCTATAGTTTATAGTTTAGTCTTTGAAATGAGTGCCACTTAGCTCATTAAGGAAATTAGGTAAATGCCAAGGGCTCTGTGTTTTGGTGATTTGTGAAGTGTTTGGAAGTTTTACACTGGACCCTGACCACCCTACAGTTGCCTGTGCTGGTGTCCATTTTCTGTAGTACATTTTGTTAAACTGACTTAACCTCTTAAGTTACACCAGAGCTTGGGACTTTCAAATTACCCTGGCCTGTATGAGTTTTTGATCTACTTAAGAGACGATGGTGAACTATTTTTAGCTTTTTCTCTATCATAATCGATCATAAAAGTAAATTAGACTTATTTTTTCATGAATGCACAAAATCTACTCCAAGTCCTTGCAGTAATGTCCTATATTGAACATTAAACAGTGCACAGTTCTCAGATATATGTTAACCACATTGCTTTGGTTATCTACAACCTTGATCAATGATCACTTCAAAAACACTGCTAATGGTATATATTGAGGAACATCATCCTTTGTAGAAAAGTTACCACAAGGATAGATTTGCCTGAATAAAATTCTTCACATGAATGGCAACTTTATTAGTCATTCATCAGCCGTTTTTTCAGTATAAACCATATGTTTCTGTTTTTGTTTTCTTAACAGTATGCTTGGCCTACATGCATAATTTGAAGGCATAAGAAGTAACTGGTAAAATGCTGAGATTCCAATACTTCAAGAGCCCACAATAGCTGTCAGCAGCCTGCAAAACAGTATCAGATGATTTTCAACAGAAGTCAGGAGGCTGCAAAAACTGTGTCACTAGCACTGAATAGTAATAGCCACCAAGGGTAGTACCTAGTTTGCAAATGTTTCCTTTTTTTTTAATGTTTTCCATTTTTAAGTTGACTGGAATTTGGAATGCATTTTATGATAGTATTATAAGTAAATATGATTTTAGACCAGCCTTCAAAAACATTTTTAAGCTACCTGAGTAATAGTTCTGTGCCATCTTCTTTTATCCTGTTTGTACCCATGACTTCTTTGGATAATGTATTCCTGTTGTAGTGGAAAATGCCTGATTAAATTCTCTTTTCTTCTTGTTAATAGAAGTTCCCCAGTGAAAGGCATTGAGAAATAAGTGGACCGTCATGAACTCAAATATCTTATGTGAAGAAAGTATTTCTCAAGGTCTTTCTCAAGGTGTTTTGAATTGAGCCATGAAGAGATATTGGGTTTCTGCAGGGTCAGGAAATTAAATTGCTACTGTCTTCTGTTGATTCTATGAGTCATTTGTAGATTGAGTCAGGTACTTTTTGTACCAGTGGAGGAGAAATAACATTTTTTTATAGTTTTCTTTTGTACGGCACTCATTGGAGCCTAAATGCACAAACTAAGCTCTTTGAAGACTTCTTTGCTTTTGTATCTCCATTACTTAGCGTAGTGCCCAACACATAAAAGATGCTGTGGCTGTTGAATGAACACATGAATCAGTGATTGCCAACCTTTGTGAAGTGCTTCAAAGACTACTTCGTCTTTCTGAGATTGTTATAATTTGATTAAATACATTATTTTTATAGCAACTTAAAAATCGAATTGTGGATTTTAGAATGATAAACTTTTCTAGGAACTTTGCTTTCTTGTATAAGAAAGAGTGCATTTTCTAAAACTGTGTAATGGGATGGCAGAGATGGCATCAGCTTACGATAAGGCAGTTGTTTTTGATGCAATGGAAAAATTAGCAGAATAAAGAGATTGCCTAACTGAGTTAGATTGCCGAGAACAAACTGTAATTTTCCAGGTTGCAAAAAAATTTTTCCAAATTCAGTATCATGGGGATGTTTCTATTTTAAAATAATCAGTATTCTCTTACTTTTGGCCTTAACTCTAAATTCCACTGTTTCCTAATCTTAATCCTTCTTCATAAACCCTAGGAGGAGTATGGATAGTAGAATACTTGTGAGCATGGGCTTTGGAACTCAGGCAGATGTGGCTCAAACCCTACTCTGCCACTTAATCCTCTGTGATCTTGGTCAACTAAGTAATCTGTTTTCCTCATTGTATAAGGGGTATGATAGAATCCTGGCCATGCTTAGGTGAGTTAATATCTACAAAGCACTTAGGCATATAGAAATGCTGAATACATTTGTTATTAGTGTGTGATAACAGCTCCATGTGCATTGCATCTTTTTGTCTCTGTCTTTGCTCATGTTGAGGTTTTTTTTCAAGTATAATTGAGAAGTCTGGCCACTTTTTAAGGACTTAGTTTAAGATGACTCTTCACTGTATTTTTTCATCTCTCTCGTTGCCTCATCCATGTTCTCATAGTTGATTTGAGCACTCACTGTGTATTATAGTTACATGTTTGTCCCCTACACTAGATCATATAATCTTTTTAAGGACAAGGAGTATGTTTGTATTTTTGTCTGTTTCAGCTACAGGGTTTGGCACATGGTATTTAACAGCATTTGTTAAATTGCTTAATTGATGTGTTTAGGGAAATCTATTAAGTTGTACGATTTAACCAACTCATAGTACTACTTTAGGACTTAATATATGCCTGGCAATGTACTTGGCATATTAAGAAGTAATTGTTTGGTATTTAAGTATCGAAGATGAGACTATTACCACAAAGCTAATTAAGCAATGATTCTAAGTACCAGCCTGTTGTGACATTTTTTAATCATCTGTATATAATTGATTTTAGCAACTTTTAAAATCTTTTATGTAAGTGAAAATTCTATTTGCTTCTTCCCTACTGTAAGCATCCTAGATAACAGGTTCAGTCCCATCTTTTAGATGGATTCTTCTTTCCCCAGAATTTTGAAGCTGGTTTAAATACAATATTTTATTTATATTTTGTCACATTTAAATGGCTACATCTTGATGACTAGCATTGAGAACTTACTATGTATCAGGCCCTGAGGACTTTAGTATACTATCTGATTTAAATCCTTGTAACAACCCTACTAGATGTAGGTACTGTTATTTTCCAGGCTTTTCTGGTGAGGGAACTAAAGCTTATAGAACTGGGGTAATTTGTTCTAGGTCACACGCTGGAAGGTGCTGGATCCAGGATATGAACCTAGGCAATCTGATTCTAAGGCCTTAACTCATAAATATGTAGCTTCCTGCTCTTTCCACATTTTATTTGAATTTTACCTGATTTTTAATTTAATTTGAGGTAGTAATGATGCCAGGGTTCTTGTTTGCGGAGTCGAAGAATAAGCTTAGCAAATAGTCAAGGTAGGAGAGCCAGGGAGACTTTTATTGAGAAATACAGTGAGAGGACAGACAGGAGGGGACAAGAGAGCCCTGGGTGGTACGTTGTCTAGGGGACTTATAGGTGGTTGAAGACAAAGAGCTAGGGAAGTAGATCCATCAGATGGTCTCTAAATGTTTATCTTTAAAGAGACACTAAGTTTCTTATCAGTTTTCCAGACTGTTTTGCAGAGTTAATATAAATTTACTGCTTTGATCCTTTCTGAGAGTAGCAGTGTCTTGGTTTGGGAGCGTATCAGTCAAGGCTGCTTGTCTTGCTTTGAAGGTGAGCTGAGTTAGTGACTTGATTAGGGCTGAAGGAGGAAAAACAGCATTTGGGTAAAGTTAAAGATAAACTGGGCTTTTTAGCAGGCTAAAGTAAATTTTACAATAGCCTCATTTAATTGACACAAACAAGACATGGACTGTGCTGAGGTATTTTCTTATCTGGGGGATGTTCAAACATTTCAGGCCAGGTTATTCCTGGCTTTTTAGTTTTAACTAACCTTTATTGAGGAATGCTTATATTCTTAGTTTGATATTTTACTTTAGAGAATTAATGTGGCTCTGACTTTGCTTAATTGTTTAATATGGAGGTTTGGTAGGGGTCTTTTTCCAGAGGCCCTCACTTTACTCTGACAGCACCCACAGTCCCTGTCTCAATAACATATAAAGCATCTAATGTTTGTCTCAGAGTAGTTGCTCAAAAAATGATAGTTCTGTTTCTTCTGTTCTGTTGTGCTATCACAGGAGCAAAATTTAAAGACAATTGCAGTTAACACAGAAGTTAGGGGCCCTGAATCCCCTGGCAGTTGAAAATTTATATATGACATTTGACTCCCCCAAAACTTAACTACCAATAGCCTGCTATTGACTAGAAGCCTTACCAATAACATAAATCGTTGATTAACACATGTTTTGTATGTTATATGTACTGTGAAATGTATTCTTATTTCAAATTGTTCAAATCTCCAAAACTTTTCCAATTTATTTGTTGAGAAAATCTGCATATAAGTGGGTCTACACATTTCAAACCCATGTTGTTCAAGGGTGAACTGTATATAAAAACAAGACATGGGCTGTATATAAAAACAAGACAAGGGGGACTAGACTCTAATCCTATCTGGGAATTTTAACTCCTTCTTGCAGTGTTTGTTGAACTTCTCATTTTCATCTGAGAGATTACTTCATTTGTAAGAAATCACAGAGTATCAGAAAAGAGCGGAGAATAATACACAGTCTTGTTTCAAAGTTCAGTTTTCTTTTTCATTGATAACCTTGTCTAATCAGAAAACAAGGCACTAGTTAAGACATCTGTATGAAAGTTTAGGTGTGTTCTTGTTAAAATGTGTATTTTAATTTGTCAAATGTCTTAACAAATATTTGTAATTTAAAGATTTTTTTAAAGTTACCTTTGCAGTTTGATTTTAATGTGGATAATCTCTAAATATCCATATAACTTGCACAGTTTATGTAGATCCGGAAATTCATGTCAAATGTTTCCTGAGTTTTATTACATGCCACAAAATCCTGATTATAGGATAGTTTTCATGGTTTTCTTTCCTAATATCAGTATTATATTTACATAATACATAGTATATATCAGTGGTTGATTCTATTACATTTAGAGAAAATGTTTTTAAAATATTTTAAGCCCTATATATATTTTATGTAAGCACTTTTCATCCTTTTTAAAATAGGTAAACCAACAAACTGGGAAGATGATGGTTGGGGAGCATGGGAAGAAACTGAACCCCAAGAACCTGTAAGTCTTTATGAATGCATGTGTGCTCTTTGGTAGTGGCGTTTGCCTTTCGTAATGATGGGGACATACTTCAGTGTTAGGCTGACATTTTAAAATCTCTGTCAAGAAGGTTTTTGTGCTTAATTCTACCTAAGTAGACAGCTGTTCTGAAGGACTTAATGACCGTATAGCTTAGTGGGCTGAATGTAGAACGGCTGTTTTATGATTCTTTCTCCTTTACTATTTTTCTTTTAGACTCTTTCACCTATGCACTCAGCATATGTTTGTTAAGTGCCCACCATTTGCAGGCATTTTTCTAGGTGTTGGGAACATAGCAATGAGCACAGTAGACAAAGTCTCTGCTAATGTTAGTGTATTTTCACATAAGTAATAGAAAACTTGAACCTAACTTGGCTTAAATGACAAGGATATTCATTCCACCATAGAAGGAAGCAGGGGGGAGTGTGGACTCCCGGGTTGGCTGGTCAGGCTGATTCAACTGTGTCATCAAGGACTCACCTTCTTTCCTTCTGTCGACTCCGCTCGGACAGTGTTGCTCATCCTTATTCCTCCCACAGGTGTGATTTGGAGAAATGTTTCTTCATTCATGACCAGAGGGAGAAAAAGGGCTGTGGCTTTCCATGACCCTTTCTGGAGAGGGAGCAGCTTTCTCAGAAGCCTCTAAAGGCCCTGTCTCAGGTCTTCTTGGCCAGACTTGCTCTGAATACTCAGTTCTGAGCTAGTCACTGGCCAGGGATAAGAGATTCTCATTGGTCAGTCATACCATTGCCTAGAGTTGGGGGATAAAGGGGTCAGCCTCTCCTGAGGCCCAGGGCTGCACAGCGAAGGAGTGGATACCTGAGCAAAATCAGGATTTTTTTTATAAGGAAAAAGAATGAGCATATATACTGGAAAGGTCTTATCATCCCTGTTCCCAGCAGCTTGCTCTCTAATCGGGAGAGAGAGATTTTTTAAGAAATAAAAATGGAAATATCAAATGGTGAGAGTAGTTGCACAGAGAATTCAGCTGCTGGTGTGATAGCAAGCGAACAGTGACTCCTGTTGACTGGGTGGTCTGGGAAGGCTTTCTAGGGGATGTGACATTTAAGCTGAGGCCTGGAAAACAACAGGGAGTCAATGAGGTGAAGCTCTGGCCATGAGCATTTCAGGCCAGGGCAGTAGCTCATGCTGAGGTGTGGGGCAGGAAGGGGCTTGGAGTCTGACGGAACATGAAGAGGCCCTCGGCAGGACTGAGATGACTGCAAGCTGCACTTCGAGAAGCAAGCAGGCCTGATGTAGGGCTTTGTGAACTGGGAGTTTATTCTAAACTGGCAGCTACTGAGCCCAACTTGCACAGTTTACATACAAAAGTATAAAAACTTTGAGGTGCTTTTTATCTCCGTAAGTCTGATAGACCTTGGAGAGGAGTTGTTGTTTTTATGTCAGAAGAGAATAATGGGCTTTTGTAATCAGAGAGGTTTACTATCCGGGATCTGAATAGGGTTTATTTAGGAAAGGAGAAAGCCTCTTTAGCTTTCTGATTCTGAGAGATCACCTGTAATAAGGGCTTTATGAAGAAAGCATATTCTAATATGTATTATCAGCAGTAGCTGGCCACATCCAAGAAAGTATGGTTCTTTGACATTGGTGGCCAAAGGGCCTTTAATGATGGCTTCTATTATTGAAGAGGACACATGCTTTTCTTCTATAGATATTTCATGTCTGTATTTGTCTGCTTGACTAACATAACACAATACCACACGCTTAAACAATAGAAATTTATTTTCTCACAGTTCTGGAAGCTGAAAGTCCCGGCTAGAAGCCAGGGTGCTGTCAGGGTTGGTTTCTGGTGAGACCCCTCTTCCTTTCCTGACTGCATTCTTGTTGTGTCCTCACACGGCCTCTCCTCTGTGTACAAACAAGAGAGGCAGTTCTGGGGTACCTTCTGTGCCTCTTAGGAGGCCAGTCTGTTGGAGTAGGGCCCTGCCCGTGTGACCTCACTGAACCTTAATTTCCTCTTAAAGGCCCAATGTCCAGATACAGTCCCACTGGGAGTTAGGGCTCAACATATGAATTTGGGGGGATACAGTGAGTCCATGGCAGTGTGCAAATAATAAATTTGTGTTGGGCATAACTTTTATGTGTATAAGTGCAAAGAAGAAGGTTCAGGAATTCCTACTTGCCTATAAGTAAATACACTGAAGATTGAAAAGGCAAACAGAGTAGGCTTTCAGAATGGAGGACAAGGCAAGACGAAGATCTTCCTATCTGCTAACCTAATTTTAAGTGGGCAGCATGACAGATAATGTGTGGCTTGGGGAAATTGGAAAGGAAAATAGTTTTTTTACAACATCTACCAATTAATGATCCTATAACAAATAGTAAAGAGCTTTGCTATATTTCTTACAGTGTTCCAAGGGCTTTTAGAAGGGATTATCATTTTTTTTTTGCTTTGGGAAAGAAGTGATTAGAGGGGGTTATTTTGCTCAGCCTCATTCTACAATGCAAATCCAGGCAGTTTGGGAAGAAGCTTGACAAGGTTCAATTTTAAGTGGCAAGGCAGGTTTAAGGAGCTTTCCTTCACTGGTGTATTAAGACCAAAGGGTAGAAGTATGGAATCAAGGATTTGCTTGTCAGTGGTTTCTGGAACAGGAAACACTGAAGGTTCCGGGTGCAGAGAGAGAAGTGTGGAGAATTTCCATTCACAAGACACTTAGGAGTGTGCCCCATCTGTGTATGGAAAGTGATACAATGCAGTTTACAGAGCAGTTATGATTTAACAGATTACCAGGGAATGAAAGCATGCTGGTCAGATTGAGGCCCCCCAGAGATGTTTGTTTATGGGCTGAGGCATAATAGCATATAGCATGACCTGATTAGACATAATCTGAGATAATATCAGAAATGATTTTGCCTTCTTTTCGTGTCATTGGACTCCGGTGCTCTCTACCATGCAAGACACCTAAGCACCAGATTGGCCAGAGCAGAAGGAGAAGCACTCAAGTCATACTAAGGGCGTGCCCTCCGTTCTCGGGGCCGGGGCTGGGGCCTCCAGAGGCTGTCCTTCCCGAGGCGGGCTCTCCGTGGGACTCTGCTCCTTCAGCTGCTAGAGGCGCTCTGCCGATGACCCCCCTCGCAGCACTGACACAGGCTGGGTGCTGTCTAGTGATTCTCCATGAGGGCTGATTTTGTCCCGTAGGACACATCTGGCAATGGGTAGAGACATGTTTGGCTGCCTCAGCCTGAGGGAAGGTGCATGTCAGTGAGCAGGGGCCAGGGATGTTGCTGAGCATCTGACAGCACACAGGACAGCCGTCCAAAACCAGGAGTTACCCAGCGCCAGTGGTCAGTGCGCCCAAGTTCAGAAAGCTTTTAATGAAACTACCCCCGTCTGTCTTTCCTCCCTGTTGTTCTTAAAATTTCTGGGCCTCTTTTGGCAACTTCAAAACTGTATTGCCATCGATTTGGTTTTAGTGGATTCTAGTGAAGTGACCTACTAGTGTAGAAGTGCAGGTAAAGGATTACTTGCCAACAAACAAAGGTTATTCCCTGAGTTTTTGGCCACTGACCTCCCAGTAGTGCAGCCTCACTCTTGGTGGCATTGTTTATGCCTAAATGTTTAAGAGAGATCTATTTCAGGTCCATGCTGCCTGCAGCCAGCCACCACCTCTCCTTGCTCTGTACTCCTCAAGCATTCCTACAGGGGAGCTTCATTTAGTTAGTTTGGGCTGGGTGATGGGCATCTGGGCCTCTGCCAGTGAGGGAGGGGCAGTCATCTGACCTGGTGGGTTGGGGAAGGGTTCTGGAGGCGCAACTGCTGCTTAAACATACTCGAGCCAAGCCTCCTGGTTTTAGCCCCATCGTAGCCCTCATGTCCTCTGGAGCGGGCACTGAAGCCCTCAGCCTGTTGGCCGTTTTGCAGTGTCCCTGGGGTTGCCTCTCAGTTGAATTGTTTCTCTCAGTTACTCTCCATCAGTTTAGGAGGATTCACTCTTTAGGGACTTTAAACTCAGTTCCCACCTGTTCACTTGGTTTTCCTTTGTTCTTTTTACCTTACTGGTTTTTTCCTTTAAACAAACTCTTTTACTGTTGTTTTTAGTGGGGTTGAGATTGGCAGGGAGAGTGAGAATAAAATTCATGTGTTTAATTCCTCTCTGTGTGAAAGTCCATCTAGACTTCATTTTTACATATTGTTCCACCACTTGCTTTTTCCGTTCAGTGTAATTTGGAGGTTTTTCTGTATCTGCAGATAGAAACCATCCATTTCTTCTAAAGGAATACTCCGTATCTCATCGTACAGACATGCTGTGGTTCACATCCCTGTGCCCTGTTGAGGGACATTTCATTTTTGTTTGCTCTTTTTCTTTTTTGTTTCCTTTCTTTTTTTGTTTTAACCACAAGCAGTGCTGTCCTCATCTTTACATCTGCCATGCATCTTTGGGTACACATGTGCATATAAGTGTGATGATTGGGCTTCAGGCGGCTGGAATTTCTACCCCAACGTTGCCACTTCATGATTGTGAAACCTTGGGTGAGTCACCTAACTTCTCTGGGTTCAGTTACCTCATTCTTAATGTGTGACTGATAACAATACCAGCCCACGGGATTGTTAAAAGGATCAACTGAGGTGTGCTTAGAGTAGTACTTAGAACATAGTAGGTGCTCAATAAATGATAGCAATTCTTTATTTTCCTTTAGAATCAGTTTCTAGAAGTGAAATTGCTAAGGTATACATATTCTAAATTTGAATAGAAATTGTTGAGTGGTGCTTCCCAAAGCCTCTGTTTGTATTCCAGACAGCACTCTATGGGATTGCCTTTCTCTGATCTCTGTTACAGGTAGGAGAAGAGCTCAGCCCCAATTGCTTCTCATCACTGTGTATGGTTGTTTACTTTATAGACATGAAATATTTCTCTGTACCCATATATATTTTTTTTTAATACTGGGAAACAAAAGTAGGGGAGATGAATGTGTTTTTGTAGTGTAGAGGCCTGCTTTTCTCAGGTATTTTTTTGGAGTTG